TGGTCTGATCCCATAATACACTAATTAGCACTGTGCATAATGTTTTAAAAATGAAAAGAAAAAGAAAAAAAGTTACTCACATCCTAGTCTTGAGTTGTATTCTGGGTAAACATGTCTGAGGTTGCAGGAATATTTCTTGATAAAGTTTCATGAATTTTTTATGGGCCTCTTCAGAACTGATACTGTGAAGAGAAGCAAAGCTTGAAAAAAAATCATTTTTATTACCATCTTGTTTTTAAAATGGGATATTAAAACACTAGTTCAACAAGTTCAAAGGCAACTGAAACATTCAGGAATAATAACAAAAATTTATTTAGCACACTAATGACCATTTCTACCTTTCATTTAGCTGGGTTAGCTGCGCCAGCTGTGTGTAGTCAATGTCTGCAAGTCTTTGCTCAGCTGTGTTAAAAGTAGAAAGCTTAGCAGATCAGTAACATCCGATTTTAAATCAATTTTACAGAGCTAGAAACATTCAGTAAAGTAAAAATGTGACAACCAGCCCCGGTCTCCTCTGTCTGTACTATATACAGTGTAGAACAGCCTTGTCATTTACAAAAGCGAACCAATACAATGTAAACAATACATGATATGTATAATACAACTGACTCCTTACATTATTAACATGTTTATTTGAAATGTCTCTGTACCTGAATGTCGGTATCGGTGCATGGCTGTAAAAGCAGCAAATGATAACATGAGTGTTCATTGTAACAGTGAGAAATATCAGGTGACTCGAGTGCAAATTATTGTCGAAGTGTGTTTGGCCTGTTTCATGGCAACAGTCCTGTAGGCTACTCATATTACAGACAGTACAATGTTATCGTGTTAAAAGATCGTTAATAAAGCATGATTATTAATATCTTATTGGGATTAGAATTACGCGTTCTAATCGCGAAATACAAAACTCAGCAATGTTATGTTAACAACTCACATTTATCAAGTTAATGAGGTAGGCTAACAACTCAGTAAACAAGAAGTTAATATTGAGTAACTTACATTTTAGACATAATATTTTCAGTTAGCCTATGTGTCTATATTTGTATCACCGGCGGCAAAAATACTTCCAAACTAGGCCAAAGCGGAACTGACTGACCGTCAACAAGCGTCGTGTTTTTGAACAAATGGAATAAATGACTCATTAAATCTCTTAGGACATTTGTTTGGTTCCTAAACCAATCATTGTTTTTGAACGATTCAATTAAAAAATAGAAAATTAGAAATGTTGCCTTGCAATAAAATTGAATATAAAATAAACCTACATTGTTATATTTAAAAAGCACAAAAATAATACAAAACTAAAAATGGCAAAAGCACATCGAATTGTTAATTAAAGCATACAAAATGACTCAAATTTTATCTAGAATTCAAATTAAAACTGAAAATATAAAAAATAAAAGCTAATTCAAAAAATTAATAACAACTAACCTAATAGTATATGAATAATAATTTGCTCAATAACAAATGACGAGCAACTCATGAGCATATAAATAATAAAAGATAAAGATCTATTCTATTCTTTTCTGACCCAGTTTAACCACTGAAACAGAAATATAAAATTAACATAGACAGATTTCCTAGGAAAATAGCAATTCTGCATTGGAAACAACTGACTCCATAATGTCTGCCCCACAGACTTCAATGCAAAACTGACTTCTTCCTTAGTGAAAGTTTTAACAAGTGGTCTGATCCCATAATACACTAATTAGCACTGTGCATAATGTTTTAAAAATGAAAAGAAAAAGAAAAAAAGTTACTCACATCCTAGTCTTGAGTTGTATTCTGGGTAAACATGTCTGAGGTTGCAGGAATATTTCTTGATAAAGTTTCATGAATTTTTTATGGGCCTCTTCAGAACTGATACTGTGAAGAGAAGCAAAGCTTGAAAAAAAATCATTTTTATTACCATCTTGTTTTTAAAATGGGATATTAAAACACTAGTTCAACAAGTTCAAAGGCAACTGAAACATTCAGGAATAATAACAAAAATTTATTTAGCACACTAATGACCATTTCTACCTTTCATTTAGCTGGGTTAGCTGCGCCAGCTGTGTGTAGTCAATGTCTGCAAGTCTTTGCTCAGCTGTGTTAAAAGTAGAAAGCTTAGCAGATCAGTAACATCCGATTTTAAATCAATTTTACAGAGCTAGAAACATTCAGTAAAGTAAAACCAGCCCCACCAGCCCCGGTCTCCTCTGTCTGTACTATATACAGTGTAGAACAGCCTTGTCATTTACACAATACAATGTATACAATGTAAACAATACATGATATGTATAATACAACTGACTCCTTACATTATTAACATGTTTATTTGAAATGTCTCTGTACCTGAATGTCGGTATCGGTGCATGGCTGTAAAAGCAGCAAATGATAACATGAGTGTTCATTGTAACAGTGAGAAATATCAGGTGACTCGAGTGCAAATTATTGTCGAAGTGTGTTTGGCCTGTTTCATGGCAACAGTCCTGTAGGCTACTCATATTACAGACAGTACAATGTTATCGTGTTAAAAGATCGTTAATAAAGCATGATTATTAATATCTTATTGGGATTAGAATTACGCGTTCTAATCGCGAAATACAAAACTCAGCAACGTTATGTTAACAACTCACATTTAGCAAGTTAATGAGGTAGGCTAACAACTCAGTAAACAAGAAGTTAATATTGAGTAACTTACATTTTAGACATAATATTTTCAGTTAGCCTATGTGTCTATATTTGTATCACCGGCGGCAAAAATACTTCCAAACTAGGCCAAAGCGGAACTGACTGACCGTCAACAAGCGTCGTGTTTTTGAACAAATGGAATAAATGACTCATTAAATCTCTTAGGACATTTGTTTGGTTCCTAAACCAATCATTGTTTTTGAACGATTCAATTAAAAAATAGAAAATTAGAAATGTTGCTTTGCAATAAAATTGAATATAAAATAAACCTACATTGTTATATTTAAAAAGCACAAAAATAATACAAAACTAAAAATGGCAAAAGCACATCGAATTGTTAATTAAAGCATACAAAATGACTCAAATTTTTATCTAGAATTCAAATTAAAACTGAAAATATAAAAAATAAAAGCTAATTCAAAAAATTAATAACAACTAACCTAATAGTATATGAATAATAATTTGCTCAATAACAAATGACGAGCAACTCATGAGCATATAAATAATAAAAGATAAAGATCTATTCTATTCTTTTCTGACCCAGTTTAACCACTGAAACAGAAATATAAAATTAACATGGCTCCATTCTGAATTTTAAAAGGGAATATGTGCAGAATAAAGAGATGGAAGGCATGTAAGATCAAAGACGTCTTTTCTTCTTGTTAGTCTCGACTGTTCCCTGTGAAACCACAGCAGTAAATCCCCTCAGCTGAACTAAAAGCTTATAAGGTTTAATTAAGTAAGTGGCCCACCGCTCCATACGAGCCGAACTAATCCAGCAGAACAGCTCGCAGGTCCACCAGAGAAATCTGCTCAAAGCTCGATGACAATTTGCTGATATTCTCTGCACTGTATTGAGATTTAGAAAGGCTGTGAACACTATACAAACATACTGTGAATCAAACTTTATATATTTATGGTTTATACTGACCAGAAACAAGCACTTTGACTTCTTTTGTTTATTTGTTGACATATCACATGGTTTCTAACTTTATAAATTGATATAATAGTTGTGCAACAATGAAATATTAATATATATATATATCAAATCTGTGGCTGTAGGCGTGTTTTGAACTCACTCTGCAGTTGACAGACACTGTGATGAATTGTGGCCTGAACTCACTTCTGAGGTCTGTTTGCAGATGGGTATTAGTGTTCTAAAAGTGCTAATTGCATCAGGCAGCAACATTAGTAGGACTGAAGCCGTGGTCACACAAGAAGGATAAACACAACAGAGATCTTCTCAGACACTGTCTGCCACTGAGCCATGTTCAGCAAGCTGAAGAAGATCATCGGGGGTCCAACTGTGGGTCCTACCCCGGCCTCGGCCTCTAGGTCGGCCCCTGCACCAGCTCCTGCTCCGGCCCCTGCAAAGGTAGGTACAAGTGACTCATAATGCACTTTATGAAGATTTCTGCTGCTTTTTTATCTTAAGCACATGTAACAAATTAAAAATATTTTGCTAAAATGCAGTAAATATTTTAGCTATCATTTTAAATATGGGATTGACAATTTTCGGTAAAAATAATAATAAATGCTTTATATTATTTATTATATTAATAAATGCTTTGTATATGTAGTATGTGTAATGTGGATATAGTTTTATGAATTATTTAATAATATAATAAATTATATGGAGCATTTATTATTTTTAAAGCATATGTTATTTATCAGTGTTATTTTAGTATCATTGACACTATTATAGTTTTATTTAATATTTTGAATTAGTTAGTATTTTTCAGTTTTCATTTTAATTTTAGTGAAATTTTTTGTAATTTTTAATAATTTGGTCTTTTGTGTGTGTGTGTTTTTTTTTTCATTTTATTCATTATTGTTTTTTAAAATATATCTTTATAGTTTTTATAGATTTTTATTTCAATTTTAGATTTAGTTATTTTAGTACAGTTAAACTAAATGAAAATGATGCTTTGGCAGATATAGCAGTTTTTTTTTTTTTTTTAGCTAAAGTTGTTTTACAGTAAAAGGTTAGTTAAAAAGTTCATTAAAATGCATAATTGAAGATTTAGTCCAAAAATAATGTTAAATAATTAATATCATTTATTATATGTTTCATATAAGATTATATATATATATATATATATATATATATATACTGCGCATACATTAATTCACTTTATGGTAGTTTTTATCTTAAACACCATGTAAAGGACAAACAGTGTTCTTCTAACATCATTTAAAAATGTAAAAGTTAAAGCTAAAGGCTTGAGTAATTTAAAATAGACAATTTAGCTCAACAATCTACAAATAACAGAAGCCATCATGCGTCATTTATGAGAATGTTTTTATAACTGCAAAAGCGCTCTGGGATAATGATTAATCTCTGCACCCGGCAGGAAGAAAAACCTGCAGACAAGGAAAATGAAGACAAGAAAGATGATGAAGGCCCTGGTAAGTCATCTGTTATCATTGTAATTATCCACTAAATGATCTCATCATTCATTGTGTAAGCACCTGCAGAATATATTTTCCAGATGAGAGGTATTTGAAATAATTCTTACAGTCTGTCACAGGTTGCTTGCAGTAGTGTTTGTTATGGGTTCAGTAGCATGTGATGGTCAGTAAGCTGCTTCAGGGGTCAGTCCTCCATCTGTGACCCAAATCTTCCTTCATTTGGGAATCGTAAAAAGAAAAAATAACTATTTTCTCCTCAGCCCCAACGCCGACTCCAGCACCAGCTCCAGAACCAGCAGCACCGGCCTCAAAACCAGAACCGGCCCCCAAACCAGAGGAGAAACCTGCAGACCCGGCCAACGGCCAGCCACCTGCTGAAGGGTAAAATTAACACCATTTTTATCTGATCATGTTGCATTTGGTCAGAAGTTATTAAAATATATTACGGCAAGAGAATAAATAGGGTTGAGTTTGATTTCATGTTGACTTTCATGTGCTATAAGTGCCAAGAGAAAGTCTTGATGTCCTGAGTGTGATTGATAAGCATTAATTAATCACGGCTAATCAACTAGACTCACGTTGTCTTGGAAAGGACTCACAGTAAGTGACAGAACAGCGTGTGAGTAAGTCATCAGTGCAAACACTGTACATCAGATCCAAGACTGTGCAGCAGAGACCTGGAAGATTACGAGACCAGGAGCTGAGAGCAGATTACAAGATTTACAGTGCATTTGATATAAGAAGATCCCTGGAGCTACTTACATTTAGAAAACAAAAATAAAACCGACACCAACAGTGGAAGAATGCCAGAGTAGTTTTATGATGGGTATGATCCTCAAAATATATTCCCATTCACTGGAGCAGTATTTATTTATTTATTATAAATAATAAAAACAAAGAAATAAAATTAAATAAAATTCTGCTCCAGTATAATATATATTATATTATAAAGTTGTATTTTGCACTAATAACACTAACATGTACTCAAAACAAAAGGCACTGGGTCTTCACTTACACTTGTAATACGCCTCCATGACCAGCAGAGGTCAGCATATAAAAGCACAATTCAGATCATCAACAGTTTCAGATCTTGTACAAGTAGTTCAGCGTCAAACAAGTTAAACCAATGATCACATGTAGGATTTCAACTCAATTTTGAGTCGTGTTTACACGGATCCGATGAATAGCCTACCAGGAGCAACGTAAAAATACCCACTAAAAAGCATTTAGACTGCTTTACAGCTCAAATAACACACACTGTGAATGAAGAAATTAATACGAACACATTTTACAAAAAAATATGAGCATTATAAGTAGTAAAATGAAACTAGTGTGATAAAATTTAAAACCAACTTGTGTCATTATGCGCGCAAGGATATTTATCAACCGGAAGTTCATTCGCCTAGGACAGTAGTCCCAAAACAAAGAACGATTTAGAAAACTGTACAGTTTAAATAACATTCATGTTATATCGAGGAATTAATATAAGGACTGTTACAAAAACATAAGCTGTATATTTCTACTTTTAAACCTTCCACAATACTTTGCCCCATAGACTGTTACTGTAAACACCCTTACGAAAATGAACCATATGGTTTTCCTACAAAAAAAAAAAAAACATGGTTACTATAGGTAAACAATGGTTTTTGTTCATTAGAAATGTATTTATTTGTTTGTTTAAAGTTTCTGGAAGTTGAGGATTTTAAATGTCTGTATATTAAGTGATATATTACTATATATGTTAAATATATTGATTTCACCTTGTGTTATTATCTGTTGGATTGTTATAGTGAGGAGGCCCCTTCCCCTGAGTCCCGACCCATTGTGATAAGCAAGCATTTTGATGCTCAACTCATTGAGATTGTTCAGCATTACCGGCAACGGACAGAACAGTTTAAAGAAAAGATCATTGACCCCTATGCATCCTCTCCAGAGCGCAGCCCTCCTGTCAGTGAGTACAAATCAATCCATGCTTCGGCAATTAATGATATATCTGTAATACAGCACTTATTGAAATAATACATACATACAGCTGAAATAATATGTAAATATGACAGGACGTCACCACATAACAAGACAATAAGAAGTGGCTTAACAGGTATTTTGTGTTTGTTCCAGCACCTGTCCTGAGAAAGGATGACTACTTGAAGTTGGTGGAGGAGAGGAAACGAAAAGAAGAGGAGGACAAGAAAAGAAAAGAGGAGGAGGAGAAGAAAAAGAAAGAGGAGGCAGAGAGAAAAAATAAAGAGGAGGAGGAGAAGAAAAAAGCAGACAAGCCTGGGGAAAAGAAAGAGGAAAAACAGGAGGAGAAGAAAGATGACAAGGCAGACAAAGAGCAGAAGTCCATCTACCCAAAAATGAAGTGCACCTGTGTAGATTTCCTGCTGAAGCCCATCGAGAACAGAATGGACAAAAGACTGGACACCTCCATCGATCCGTTCACAGGTTACATTTCAAAATATGCTAACATAATTTATGTCATATGCAGACATAAAATGACCACGTTTCTATGCTTTCGTCTGCTCTGTTCTTGTGTTTTTCACTAGACTGCAGGTATATTGCTTGGCTAAGCTTGGTGACCATTGCCTTCAACTATAACCTGTGGTTCATACCGGTCCGTATGGCCTTCCCGTATCATGACCCAGCGTCTGTTCCATTGTGGTTTACCTTGGACATCATTGCTGACATCATCTATGTCATCGACATGATCGTTTTCCAGCCACGACTGCAGTTCTGTAAAGGGGGAGACATCATTGTAAGAAAAAATTGATAGCTTCATTTTATGTTCACACAGTCTTTTTATATAACACAGTGTTCAATGTCTTGCTCCATAGACTTCTACTGTAAGTTCTATTATTAAATTCTAACACTACTAATGAGTACCTCTAATTTTTTTTCATAATTTTCTTTCAGTATGACAGAGTTGTGATTAAAAATAAATATCGAGAATCGTCAAGGTTTCAGGTATTGCAGATATTTCAGTTGACTTTCATCTTCCAAATAGCATTTTATCCCAGAAAGCCATGAAATATTTCCTGTCCTTTCAGAATGATGTCCTATCCATCCTGCCTTCAGACCTGTTATATTTCCCGTTTGGATTCAAGTCTGTCTTCAGGCTCAATCGTTTGATGAAGGTAATGCAGCTTCTATAAACACCTGTGTTTTGGCGGGATTCGTGATTGGCTATGAGATGCATAATCATTCATGAGCTGATTATATTTTTGAATTTGCCTTAACCTTGTTTTGTTTATGTTTTCTCCTTAAGTCTGAAGCATTTTTTGAGTTCAGTGACCGTCTTGAAGGGATCATGACCAAAGCGTACATCTGGAGGTATGTAACCAAGGTTACACCAAATACACAAAATAATGATCTTTAAAAAAGCATCATATGACCCCTTTAAAAGAGTTGATCTGACTGACTGGTTCTATCAGGGATGGGCAAAAAATCTGAATTTATGAATTGACAACCTTTCAGTTAATGAGAATTAGAATGCTGTTTGGCTTCATTTGGAAGACTTTGAGGAAAATTGGAATATTCTGTTCTTCCAATATGGTCCAAAAAGTTAATTTTTTAAATGCTAAATATAAATGAAGCACACATTTCCATAACTTGATTGCACTGTAATTCTTCATGTTTAAATTCAAATTCTGTTTGCTACCTCGATGAAATCAAGAATTCAAGAATTTAAAACATTCTCATTCTGAATTTGGCTCGAAATTTCAATTTTTTTAGTTGCTTTTGATTGTTTTTTTTAATTATTATTCTTATTTACTCACAATTAGCCATTTCTCATTCATTTCTACCTGCAAAAATATTTTAAAGCTTGACATAACTGGAGATATATATTCATTACAGAAAATTTGAAGTTTTAAAAAACCTTTTAGAAAAGACTTTTCCAGGTCTAGAAATCACAATATTAAAGTTCCCTCATATATCCAGATCTTCAAGATCATGGAAATCCTGGTTCTTCCATAGAACGGCAGTTGTTAAGGGAACAAGTTAACATACGAAATATAATACCAGTTTACATCTTGATTTTTAGATGTTTGAGCTTATTTTAATCCTTTTTTGTCTTATTTTGAATCATCTTGCACCCTCCTTGGAAGTTTGATGGCCCTCTAGTTGGCCCCAGACCCTTGGTTGAGAACTACTGTTATATTGTGACCATAATTCTCCTTTGTTCTTTTTAAAGAGTAATTCGCACCATTGGATACCTGATGTTTATTCTCCATCTCAACGCATGTCTTTACTACGTGGCATCTGACTACCAGGGGATTGGCAAAACCAAATGGGTGTACAGCGGAGAAGGCAGCGCGTAAGTAATTTCATCTACCTTTCAGATTCACTTTATTGATTCTTTTTGTAAAGGTAAAGTATATAACTTCTGCACCACTGGCAGCACAAAACAGTAATTGAAATGCCCATGTAATGTTATTTTTTTTTCTCTTCCATTCACAGTTCAAGTTTAACAACAACAAAAAAACTAAATTGGTTTGCAGTAATTGCAGGTTTTTTTTTGTTTTTTTTCATATTCTCATAGCTACCTGAGGTGTTTCTTCTATGCGGAGAAATCCCTCCTGATGATCGCAGAACTTCCTTTCCCTGAGACCATGTTCGGTCAGATCTTTCAGATGACCAACTATTTTTTTGGTGCTCTATTTTTGTCCATCATTCTCGGCCAGGTAGACGTTTTGTCTCCAAAGCTTTTGTCTGTAAAGCTTATGCTCCTGAAGCGCTTGGTGGTTTTTTTGGTTCAGATTTGATTTAGATTTTTTTCACTTGGCTTTCTTGCTTGGCCATGGCTTTGCTCAGTGGTTCGATGTCTGCTGTTTTGACACTGTAATATGTGACCCTGGACCACAAAACCAGTCGTAAGTCGTACAGGTATGTCAATAGCCAACAACACATTATATGGGTCAAAATGATCCATTTTTCTTTTATGCCAAAAATAATTAGGATATTAAGTAAAGATCATGTTCCATGAAATTTCCTACATCAAAACTTAATTTTTGATTAGTAATATGTGTTGCTAAGGACTTCATTTGGATTTTCTCAATATTTGGATTTTTTTGCACCCTCAGATTGCAGATTTTCAAATAGTTGTATCTCGGCCAAATATTGTCCTAACCTAACAAACCATACATTAATGGAAAGCTTATTTATTCAGCTTTCAGATATATGTATATATAGATGTATAAATGCATAGATGTATAAATCTCAATTTTAAAAAATGTACCCTTATGACTGGTTTTGTGGTCCATGGTCGCATATGATTGAATCTTTAATAAGGACTCAGATATGATTGCAAGATGTTTTTATTCCTTACATATACTGAATTTGACCATCTCTGTCTCTTTCCCAGGTACTTGCGCAGTTACTATTTTGCCGTGCGGACTCTGATCAACATCGGTGGTCTGCCTGAGCCTCACACAGTCTTTGAAATCACCTTTCAATTAACAAACTTTTTTGTTGGTGTCTTTGTCTTCTCAAGTTTGATTGGACAGGTACATGATGTAATGATGTAAACATCATGAGCTCCTCCCCCTAGTCCCAGGCAGCCAATCATATCATAGTCCTCATCCAGTTCTCCTGTCAGGAACCATGTAGATTTCTTGTGATTGTGCTCCTGTTGTTTAAGAATGTAGGATGAGTCACTTCTTTACTAGATGTTACAGATTATAATGAGATAATTTATAGGTGTCAGAGAGTTTGTGTAGAGATAGGCGCTCAATGAAGAAGATACATAAATCACAGGTACTTTATTTAAAGCCACTAACATAAACCCAGGAGAAAGTCTTGGACTCTACAATCAAACTAAGACCTTCAATACCAGACGAAGACTGGGGAGAAACTGAGGACTTAAATAGAGCAAGCAAACAAGAACTAAACAAGCAGCACCTGAACAGAGTACTCAATCAATTAGTAACCATGGAAACAAAACGAGCAAGGAACAAAGGAGCGCATGAACTAAGGAACAAACTAGATAGCTGATCAAAAGACACACACAGAACGTGACAATAGGATTTTTTTTTCATTTATTTATTCATTGTTTAGGCTCATTTATGCTATTTTTACATGTTAATTACCTTTGCTGTCATCTAAAGGTCATCAAATAGTAATATCGGCCATTTGTCAGTTATCAGCCATAACATAAAAATAATTATTGGTTTATCAATATTGGGCATAATTTTGATATTGGTGCAAAAAAGAGAGTAATTTTACAACACTGTTAAATGTAATCTTTAATAAGTCCCATAATAAATAGCCATTTTTTCATGCTGAACATTATAATATAGTGATGCCTAAATTGACTTGTTGTCAATTAAATTTTTTAGTGTTTTATTTTAAATTTATTTAGACAAAATAATATACAATTTTAGTTTTGGCCATTTATCAGTTATGGGCCACGACATGAAAATAATTATTGATTTATCAATATTGGCCAGAATTTTAATAATGGTTAAATGAATGAATGAATGTAACAATAAACTAACTATGGAATCTTTAATAAATCTCAAAATAAATTTTCATATATAACATTGTGTTCATTTTAGTTTTTATTTTTTTTTATTTTTTAAATGTAATTTAAAAAGTATAGAATTTTAACATTGGCCATTTATCATTTATTGACTTTAACTTGAAAATATTACCAGTTTTTCAGTATCAGCCAGAATCATCAAAATGGTGCATCCATATCAGATATATAGATGTAAATCTTTGATTTTACAGATGAGAGATGTCATTGGAGCAGCTACTGCCGGCCAGACGTACTTCCGTGCATCTATGGATGCTTGTGTGGCGTACATGGTGACAAACCGCATCCCCAAGCTGGTTCAAAGCAGAGTGCGCACCTGGTACAACTACACCTGGGACTCCCAGGGCATGCTGGGTAAAATCTAAATTTACATGTAAATAACGACTGGTAATGAATAGCAGGGTCCTGCCAACTAAGGTTTGGCTTCTCCTCAGATGAGTCTGAGCTTCTGGAACAGATGCCTCTGGTGATGAGAACAGCCATCGCTGTGGACATCAACCTTGCTACTTTCCAAAAGATCGACCTCTTTAAGGTGGGCTTGATTTAAGGAAGGAAACAGATTGCGACATGTTCAGTTGCTTGATGTTTCTGTTTTTTTATCACAGGGTTGTGACAACCAGATGCTTGTGGACATGTTATTGAGGCTAAAGTCCATTGTGTACTTGCCTGGAGACTTTGTGTGCAAGAAGGTGAGTTATCCTGCCTTTTATTTATAGACACCAAGCACATCAAGTCTTCACTCTTCTGTTTCTCCGCAGGGTGACATTGGAAAGGAAATGTACATCATTAAGGCCGGAGAGGTGCAGGTCATCGGTGGGCCGGACAATAAGATTGTGTTTGTGACTCTGAAGGCAGGCTGTGTGTTCGGAGAGATCAGGTGAGCTATTGAAAAGAGAATCTGCCTTTATAGCTACACGTCATGAATGTGACATATCAACTCATGTGTTTATAATCGACCCCAGTTTGCTACAGTCTTCAGCCAATGGAGGAAACAGAAGAACCGCTAATGTAGCGGCACATGGGTTCGCCAACCTCTTCGTACTGGATAAGAAAGACCTCAATGACATCCTGATTCACTACCCAGAGTCTCAGAAAGTGCTGGCCAGGAAGGGACGGTAATTATTATTTCAGTCAGACGTTCATGTGGATGCAGATGCACCTACATAAGCAATGAGAAAATCATTTTTTGTTTCCCAATAAATTATAATTTTATTATTATTTTGCAAGACATTAAGAACTCACTTAACTGTGTTAGATTTTTGCTTAAAACAAGAAGACCAATAGTGAAATCTAAAATACTGGTTAACACTGTTTCAAAGGAAACTGCTGAAAGCCAAGGGTCCCCCTCCTGCTGCTAAAGGCAACGAGGAAAAGAAGAAAGGACTGGCTCAGTTCGGACAAAAACCTCCCACTCCCAAACTTTTGCGTGCCTTTGCAGGAGGAGCATTCACCAAAAAAGGCTTTATGGACAGACTTAAGGTAAGGAATTCTAATATATACGTATATTTACATATGCACTACCGTTTAAAATTTTGGGGCCAGTAAGTTTTGTTGTTGTTGGTTTTGGAAAGAATTGATGCTTTTATTCAGCAAGGATTCATTAAATTAATCGAAAGTGACAGTAAAAACATTTATAATGTTGCAAAAGACTTCTATTTCAAATAAATGTTGTTCATTTGAACTTTGTAGTTAACAAAGAATACTGAAAATATGTATGATGGTTTCCTCAAAGGTCTTAAGCAGCATGACTGTTTCCAACATGTCTAATAATAATAAATGTTTCTTCAGCAGCAAATCAGATATTAGAAGGATTTCTGAAGGATCACGTGACGCTGAAGACTGGAGTAATGATGCTGAAAATTCAGCTTTGCATTACAAGAAAAAGTTAAATTAAAGTAAAAAATAGTTATTTTAAAAATATTAAAAATAATATTTCACAATATTACTTTTACTGTATAAGAGATTTATTTTCAAAAACATTTAAAAAAACTTATGGACCCCAAACATTTTAAAACATAAAACACTGAATAAAACATTGAACTTTGGATGTATAATACAATAACCAAAACAATGGTTCAAAAAGAGTACATTTCTTGTTTATATTTTTCTTTTCTAGACTGCCGCTACATCAGAATGTCAATAATCGCATGAAATACATTAAAGATGTCTCTTTAAGGATGTTATTCCTTTTTAAATAACCTACATATTTTAAATGTATTTTTAAAAACTAAATATCTTTATATGTATCGAAACCATTTTTAAAATGAGCTTCTTTCCCTGCTAACCGTGGTCCTTGCCAATCAGTGAATCGTATTACTAGTAATACATGCATTATTTGATTGCAATTTGTTTCAATTCCTTCCAAAATAGTATGTTTGTAAATCTATTTTGTACTGAAACCTAAATAAAAGACACATTTTGTAGTTGCATAGTACAGTGAACATCATTTCTGAAACAACTGAATATTATTTATACTTGAGAGTTTACATAGCCCGCATGCTCTCAGTTAGTTGAGTCAGTCTGCCGTGGGATCTCACAGTTAATCTCTTTAGTCTGGCAGAGTTTTAATTAACTAAGTGGTCTTTCTAAATGTGGACCCAGAGCAGAAATACAGCACAGCACAGTGCAGGAATAGCTCGCAGCTCCAGAATAGCCCACGGATGCCCTATCAAAGTGTTGCCTGGCACACATTAAGTAATCCAATGTGACTCGTGAGCCAATAATACAGCAAATATCGTTTGCAGCTCACCCTATAATGCAGTTTTAATAGAAGGATTGTGATTGGTTGACTGCAAGTGAGAAGGCCCTTGATAGGTAGTAGCACAGGTATATTTGTAGCAATAGCCAACAATACATTATATGGGTCAAAATGATCCATTTTTCTTTTATGCCAAAAATAATTAGGATATTAAGTAAAGATCATGTTCCATGAAATTTCCTACATCAAAACTTAATTTTTGATTAGTAATATGTGTTGCTAAGGACTTCATTTGGATTTTCTCAATATTTGGATTTTTTTGCACCCTCAGATTGCAGATTTTCAAATAGTTGTATCTCGGCCAAATATTGTCCTAACCTAACAAACCATACATTAATGGAAAGCTTATTTATTCAGCTTTCAGATATATGTATATATAGATGTATAAATGCATAGATGTATAAATCTCAATTTTAAAAAATTTACCCTTATGACTGGTTTTGTGGTCCATGGTCGCATATGATTGAATCTTTAATAAGGACTCAGATATGATTGCAAGATGTTTTTATTCCTTACATATACTGAATTTGACCATCTCTGTCTCTTTCCCAGGTACTTGCGCAGTTACTATTTTGCCGTGCGGACTCTGATCAACATCGGTGGTCTGCCTGAGCCTCACACAGTCTTTGAAATCACCTTTCAATTAACAAACTTTTTTGTTGGTGTCTTTGTCTTCTCAAGTTTGATTGGACAGGTACATGATGTAATGATGTAAACATCATGAGCTCCTCCCCCTAGTCCCAGGCAGCCAATCATATCATAGTCCTCATCCAGTTCTCCTGTCAGGAACCATGTAGATTTCTTGTGATTGTGCTCCTGTTGTTTAAGAATGTAGGATGAGTCACTTCTTTACTAGATGTTACAGATTATAATGAGATAATTTATAGGTGTCAGAGAGTTTGTGTAGAGATAGGCGCTCAATGAAGAAGATACATAAATCACAGGTACTTTATTTAAAGCCACTAACATAAACCCAGGAGAAAGTCTTGGACTCTACAATCAAACTAAGACCTTCAATACCAGACGAAGACTGGGGAGAAACTGAGGACTTAAATAGAGCAAGCAAACAAGAACTAAACAAGCAGCACCTGAACAGAGTACTCAATCAATTAGTAACCATGGAAACAAAACGAGCAAGGAACAAAGGAGCGCATGAACTAAGGAACAAACTAGATAGCTGATCAAAAGACACACACAGAACGTGACAATAGGATTTTTTTTTCATTTATTTATTCATTGTTTAGGCTCATTTATGCTATTTTTACATGTTAATTACCTTTGCTGTCATCTAAAGGTCATCAAATAGTAATATCGGCCATTTGTCAGTTATCAGCCATAACATAAAAATAATTATTGGTTTATCAATATTGGGCATAATTTTGATATTGGTGCAAAAAAGAGAGTAATTTTACAACACTGTTAAATGTAATCTTTAATAAGTCCCATAATAAATAGCCATTTTTTCATGCTGAACATTATAATATAGTGATGCCTAAATTGACTTGTTGTCAATTAAATTTTTTAGTGTTTTATTTTAAATTTATTTAGACAAAATAATATACAATTTTAGTTTTGGCCATTTATCAGTTATGGGCCACGACATGAAAATAATTATTGATTTATCAATATTGGCCAGAATTTTAATAATGGTTAAATGAATGAATGAATGTAACAATAAACTAACTATGGAATCTTTAATAAATCTCAAAATAAATTTTCATATATAACATTGTGTTCATTTTAGTTTTTATTTTTTTTTATTTTTTAAATGTAATTTAAAAAGTATAGAATTTTAACATTGGCCATTTATCATTTATTGACTTTAACTTGAAAATATTACCAGTTTTTCAGTATCAGCCAGAATCATCAAAATGGTGCATCCATATCAGATATATAGATGTAAATCTTTGATTTTACAGATGAGAGATGTCATTGGAGCAGCTACTGCCGGCCAGACGTACTTCCGTGCATCTATGGATGCTTGTGTGGCGTACATGGTGACAAACCGCATCCCCAAGCTGGTTCAAAGCAGAGTGCGCACCTGGTACAACTACACCTGGGACTCCCAGGGCATGCTGGGTAAAATCTAAATTTACATGTAAATAACGACTGGTAATGAATAGCAGGGTCCTGCCAACTAAGGTTTGGCTTCTCCTCAGATGAGTCTGAGCTTCTGGAACAGATGCCTCTGGTGATGAGAACAGCCATCGCTGTGGACATCAACCTTGCTACTTTCCAAAAGATCGACCTCTTTAAGGTGGGCTTGATTTAAGGAAGGAAACAGATTGCGACATGTTCAGTTGCTTGATGTTTCTGTTTTTTTATCACAGGGTTGTGACAACCAGATGCTTGTGGACATGTTATTGAGGCTAAAGTCCATTGTGTACTTGCCTGGAGACTTTGTGTGCAAGAAGGTGAGTTATCCTGCCTTTTATTTATAGACACCAAGCACATCAAGTCTTCACTCTTCTGTTTCTCCGCAGGGTGACATTGGAAAGGAAATGTACATCATTAAGGCCGGAGAGGTGCAGGTCATCGGTGGGCCGGACAATAAGATTGTGTTCGTGACTCTGAAGGCAGGCTGTGTGTTCGGAGAGATCAGGTGAGCTATCGAAATGAGAATCTGCCTTTAGAACTATACGTCGTGAATGAACTCATGTGTTTATAATCGACCCCAGTTTGCTACAGTCTTCAGCCAATGGAGGAAACAGAAGAACCGCTAATGTAGCGGCACATGGGTTCGCCAACCTCTTCGTACTGGATAAGAAAGACCTCAATGACATCCTGATTCACTACCCAGAGTCTCAGAAAGTGCTGGCCAGGAAGGGACGGTGAGTTATGTCACATGATTCTTTCAGTCAGACATTCATATAGATGCACCCACAGTGAGCAGTGAGGAGGGAAAAAAAACATTTTTTGTTTCCCAATAAATTATCTAAATATCACAACAAGACTTGGGAAGGCATTAAGAACTCACTTAACTGTGTTAGATTTTTGCTTTAAAAAAACAAGAAAAAAAAAACTAATTTCTAATGGGGTAAGAAAATAAACCTACCGTAAGTCCTAATTTTTACTCACTCAGCTTTTGAAGACAATTTCTCGTTTTAAACATTTTTATTGGATAAGAAGGCAAAAATACTGATTAGGAAACTGTTTCGTTTTAGCGAACTGATTTGTTCAGATGGTTCTTTCAATGAACCTATTCACTAACCAATTCACTGATTTATTTGAATCATCACCAACTGTACGCATGGTCTTGAGCCCTATTTCTCACAGACCTACAATAGTGAAATCTGGAAAATACTGGTTAACACCATTTCACAGGAAACTGCTGAAAGCCAAGGGTCTACCTCCTGCTGCTAAAGGCGACGAGGAAAAGAAGAAAGGACTGGCTATGTTCGGACAAAAACCTCCCACTCCCAAACTTTTGCGTGCCTTTGCAGGAGGAGTGTTCACCAAAAAAGGCTTTATGGACAGACTTAAGGTAAGGAATTCTATTATATACTAAAATATACAGTACCGTTTAAAATTTTGGGGCCAGCACATTTTTTGTTGTTATTGTTTTTGAAAAGAATTAATGCTTTTTTTTTTCAGTGTGACAGTAAAAACATTTATATTGTTACAAAAGATTTCTATTTCAAACAAATGCTGTTCACTTGAACATTTGATTTAACAAAGAATATTCAAATATGTATCATGGTTTCCTCTATGATATTAAGCAGCACAACTGTTTTAAACATTGATAATAATAATAATAATAATAATAATAAAGGTTTCTTGTGCAGCAAAACAACATATTAGAATGATTTCTGAAGAATCATGTGACACTGAAGATTGGCGTAATTATGCTGAAAATTCAGCTTTGCATTACAAGAATGAATTACATTTTGAAATAAATAAAAAATAAAATAGAAAATAGAAAAAATATTTAAATTGTATTAAAATATAAAAAATTCATATTTCACAATATTATTCTTTACTTTTACTGTATAAGAGATTTCTTTTCAAAAACATTAAAAAAAATTTAAAAAAAACGTACCGACCCAAACGTTTTAATGGTACTGTATATTGAATAAAACATTGAACTTTAGATGTGTAATACAATATTATACAATTACACAAAAGCTGGCTCAAAAAGAGTACATTTTTATTTATATTTTTCTTTTCTAGACTGCTGCTACTTCAGAACAATAATCACATGAAATACATTAAATATTTCTCTGTGAAGATTTAATTCCTTTTAAAATAACCTACGTATTTTAAATGTATTTAAAAAAAAAAAAAAAACGAGCTTCTTTCCCTGCTAACTTCAGTACTTGCCAATTAGTGAATCGTATTACTAATTGTAATACATGAATTATTTGATTGAAATTTGTTTCAATTCCTTCCAAAACAGTATGTTTGTAGATCTATTTTGTACTGAGACTTAAATAAAAGACATATTTTGTAATTGCGTAGTACAGTGAACATCATTTCTGTTTTATTTATACTTGAGAGTTTACGCAGCCTTCATGCTCTCAGTTAGCTAAGGACTGGTAGTTGAGTCAGTCTGCCGTGGGATCTCACAGTTAATCTCTTTAGTCTGGCGGGGACATTGAGAGTTTTAATTAACTAAGTGGTCTTTCTAAATGTGGACCCACAGCACAAACAGTGCAGGAATAGCTGGCAGCTCCAGAATAGCCCACGGATGCACTATTAAAGTGCTGTCTGGCACACTTTGAGTAATCCAATGTGAGCCAATAATGAAGCGAATATTTCTCATATCTGTAAAAAAGCAGTGCATATTTGACTTTACAAATAGAAACGGCCCTTTGCAGCTCACCCTATAATGCCGTTTTAATAGAAGGATTGTGATTGGTTGACTGTAAGTGAGAAGGCCAGTGATAGGTCAGTCAAACTGTGGTGAACCCTGGGAAAAGGGCCATTCCTAAGAGGGAATTAATAGAGCTCTAAGAATTAATTGAAGCAGGTCGGAGTTCACACATCAGCGACAGGTGGATAAGGAGAGTGGAGAGATAAATCTGGATGGGATCGCGTGCCTGCTCGAGCCAGTGCAGCCATGTTCAGCACCTTGAAAACGCTTTTTCGGCCCAAAACTGTGGCGGCAGTAGCTCAGAGCCCTGGATCTCCGACACCAGTGCCTTCACCTGCACCTGCCCCAGCACCTGCTCCTCCAACAAAGGTACGAGTACCTGGCTTTAGCACAACACAGCACCAGATTCATCCCACACCATACAACTGACTTTAATGTCAGAGAAATGTGTTTCTTTAAAAAAAAAAAAAAAAATAGATAGCAATTTTAACAAATAAATGTATCTTGGTTTACTGGAAAGGCAGCTCAAAGGATAAGCTATTTGAATAAACTATGGGAATTTAAAAAGCTAATAGCTAATAAGTTCTAATAATATTTTTGACATTTATGTGGGAATGGAAGGATCCATAGACATTTATACATGTAAAAAGAGCAAGTAATTTCTTAGAGACTGTGACATAATTACACTTTAAGGGAAATCGTCTCTAGTACTTCTTTTTAAATTAGTCTGAAATTTATATTAAACATTTAAAAGTATAATAAATGTGCATGCAGGAAATTGACAAATAATCAATATAATTAAATGTCCATTTGCTTTCAGTTTTTCTTTTTAATAAATCTGCAAAAATGTCAACAATTCTGTGTTTTTCTGTCAATATGGGGTGCTGTGTGTACATTAATGAGGAAAAAAAATTAACTTAAATGATTTTAGCAAATGGCTGCAATATAACAAAGAGTGAAAAATTTAAGGGGGTCTGAATACTTTCCGTACCCACTGTATATAGATATATATATGTGTGTGTGTGTGTGTGTGTGTGTGTGTGTATCAACTTTTTCAGTTCATATAGATAGTCTTCTAGTAAGACAAATAATTAAACACTAAAACACTAAATGCATAATAATTAGACAAAAAGTAAAAGAAATGAGTCAACTATAATTTATTACATAATATCCATCGTCTGATGCCCTAAATAACTATTGATAATTAAATAAATATAAATAATATATTACGTTATAGTATATGGTATTTGAGTAATCAAATTATGTTTACATGTATTTATGCTCTATATATTGTTAATAAATAAAAGCATTACTGTAAGTCCGCATCAGGCTACTGACATTTCTGTAGTAATGCCCACCAGTGTTATTTTAGTATTATTGATATACTACTATTTTTTAAATATATTTTCTTTTTTCACTTTAATTTTAAAGTTTTAGTAATTTTGTCATTTTTGTCATTTTTAGTGTTTTTTTTTATTTCTTAGTTTTTTTTGTTGTTGTTGTTTTAGTTATTTTAGCTCTTCAACTTAAAGCAAACACAAATTAGAACTGTTGTTGTTGCAACTAGCTGAAATAAGTTTTTTTTGTTTGTTTGTTTGTTTTGGTCTTTTATTTCAAGTAACGAGTAAATGTTTTCAAGTAAATGTTTTATGGTTATAGTTAAAGATGATATCCCTGATGCTCACATATAAAACAATTTGCATTTGCACGTCTTACTCCTTGTCAGCTGATGCAGGCTTTCACTGAGTGTAAAACAGTTAATGACACACCTCTCATTCGTTCAAACATCACTGCTATAAACTGGAAATGTGTTGTGATAAAGAAAGAAAGAAAGAAAAACATGTTCGGTGTTAACAGGAGGAAAAGGCAGATGCAAAGAAAGATGAAGAAAAAAAGAAGAGAAAAGGGAGGAAAAGCCCACCGGTGAGTCTTCATCCATCTTCACTTCATGAGATGATGTTTCATTAAGTGAAACTGCAATTCTCTGTGTACATTTTTTAAAGTACGATTGATGTTTTCATCTGGAATCCTGGAGACATTCTCATTTTTAAAGGGTTAGATGAAAAGGCATAATGGACCCCTTGCTCAAGTACTTTATTAGTTAGCAGCATGTCAGGAGAAGCTGAAGCCTAACCTATTAAAACATAAAACAGTGTTAAGATCTCCATGCACATAGGCTGTTAATAATTAGAGATTTTTTTTGTCTTTAATTATGTGCTAATACAGAAATGAGCAAATCATATTATCCCAAAACATCTAATTCTGACCTGTGCTTCTTAAGAACCAGCTCCTGCTCCTGCTCCAGAGCCCCCTAAACCAGAAGCCAAACCAGCAGATCCAGCCGATCCCGGAGCAGCAGCTGCAGAGGGGTAAGAGTTTAGACTGCCTGTAAATATTCTCATTATATATAGTGTGTACTATACCGAAAGGTTTTCAAACTGGGGTCCTGAAGCCACAAGGGGGCCACAAGAGCTGACAGAAAAGGTTTAGAGAAAAATAGACAAAAAATGATGAATAATAATAACAATAATTTATTTTAAATTGTAAATTATTCTGAATAATAATAATTATTATTATTTATTAAATATATTATTATTAAATATCCTATACAAAATACATACATATTACTATAAATAATTTGATATTGTTGTCTTTTATAACTCCACAAACAGTATTTTAAGTAGTATTTAACTAGTATTTTTAAGTAAATAAATACATAAATATTGCTTATAATAATATGAATATAATAAATAATATATTTATTTATAAAGATATAATAATATATTTAAGAAAAATATGTTATGTTTATGTATTAAATATATTTACTGTATATATAATATAAAATATAAGTATATAAATGTATATACATGTAAATATTTTCAAAATATATACTGTATGTGTGTGTATTTATATATACATAATAAATATACACAGTACACATACATATATTATGTAAACATACGATTAATCACGATTAATCGTTTGACAGCACTAGTAATAATGCAATATATGTATTTATTTCAGTAGACATAAATAAATACATATTGATTATAAAAAAAAAAAATTATTCACATTTACCAAATTTGATATTTTTGTCTTTATAACATCACACTTAGTATTTTCTTTATACACACTATAAATGCAAATTCGCTTTTTATATTTTAGGAATGGGTACTTTGTAAGGGGATCATCATATTTGCAGGTCCTTGGCAGCAGAAAGTTTAAATAGGTCAATTATAGTGACTTTGCCCATTCATGTCATTGTTGGTTTGTATGGAGCAGATCTTTGCTGTCATCTTCCACTCAACGATGTGCAGCGTGTGACTCCAAAAGTAGCTGAAAGTAGATTAGGGAATCTGCTGTATTTGTGACTTAAGAAGATCACGAGAACGTCCTCACGTGTGAACAGGAGTTTCTATTTCCTGTGTTATATTTTTCTTTGTGTCAGTATAAAGCTAACTCTATACTGATTTCAGCAAACCATGCTAGGCAGTCATCATTTTCCAGTCACAATTCTTATATGTGCTGAATGCAATGATACGAACGTCTGCTGTAAGACTAAATTGAGTACTAAATTCACTACATGGGCCCATTTTAGCTGATAAACAGTAAACAAGAGAGCACCCGCTGGAAAAGAGGAACAAATGTGAATGTTTCAGGACAGTCCTTATCTTAACTCAACAGTTGTGCAGCCATGTAAAGCCATGATTTGACACAAAGGCAGAGTTGCACTGATTAAAATGATTATAAATAGATGAGGTACAGGTTTACACTGTCTAGTGCTGAGCATGTGGTGATTGTATGAGGTGTCGTCTGAGTTCAGCTGCTGAACTTACTCTGAAATCAGATCAAGTCTTGGCCGTAAGATTTGTTGTTTGCTGTAGCTGTGAAAGATCCGCAAAGCTTAAAATAAATAAATACTCTCTATGTTCACATATCTAAACCAGTCTAGAGTTCATAATTCTTATTATTACACAGCTCTGTGGAATACTTGATTCTGATTGGTCAGTCGCAACATTCCGAGGTATGTTATCCCTCGATAACAACCGGTAAAAGCTGATAACAAAGGCTCATCCGGGTAACTGAAGTCGGCGCCGTACTCTTGCTAGGAACATTTTTTTCTTGGTGGAAACTTTGCGATTGTTTAGCTAATAAAATATTAAAACTCGATTCAAAATTGTGTCCAATTATTTAATTATGTCATCCTGGTATCGCGGACTCGCTCTCTCGTTTCATACAAACGCAGCTGTTGCCATTTTGCGACGATTGTTTTGCACACTGTAATGGATTATAAGATAACTAACAAACTGGTAAGATTTTAAAACATTTTTGTCTTAAATCTTTTATCGCCATAATTATTTATGTGGTGAAATGTTGTGTAATAAGTGTTTTGACTGCACCGTATCCCTTAAATGTCCGTCTAGTTTGAACTTGCCGCTTGCTCACAACTGCTGTCTTCACGGAAGCTTTGCGTTCAAATATTTCAACTCAAATCAATATTTCTTGTCTAATTATTTACTTATGTGGCAAGTAGCCTTGTAATAAGCGGAATAATGTATATCCAGCTGGTTGTTATCGCAGGATAACCCCCTTCAGGGTGATACAAGACCCCTCCGCTTCGTTCTGCGATGTTATTCTGCGATAACAACCGGCTGGATGTACTTTATCCCTTACATATCACCACATAACAAATTATACAACTACTATAAGCATATCCCAGACACATACATTACACTTACATTAAGTATGTACTATATAGCAAATCTCAAATGCTTAATGTTAAAGGAGACATATTATGCCCCTTTTTACAATATGTAATATAAGTCTCTGGTGTCACCAGAATGTGTCTGTTAAGTTTCAGCTCAAAATACTCAAAAAGATGATTTATTATATCATTTTGAAAATGCCTATTTTGAGTGGAAGCAGAAACACTGCTTGTTTTTCGGGCCTGTCTCTTTAAATGCAAATGAGCTGCTGCTCCCCGCCCCCTTTTCCAGAATAGAGCTGTGCCATTACAGCTCGGACCTGCTAAAAACATCTGTTTTGGTTCTGATTA